GATGAGGAGTGGAAAGTCATGGAAAAATATGATAGGACAAAGGGTTTGAGGAAAGTGTAGTAAACTGAGGGAAACTTAGCAAGGCTTCTTGTTCGTTTGGATTCCTCTGTGTCCCTTCATCTTCAGAGATAAGGATGCTCCTTTCCTCCAGGCATAGGGAGGGTACCTCTCACATGAAGGTTTTATGACCTGTGTAATGGGGAAGTCCTTCTTGCACATGCCATTTCTCAAATTCCTTCAGCTTGAAATATCCACTGTACCAGTTGCCATATTTTGGGTAGCATGCCTTGAACCTCATCAGCCTCTTTTCACAGAGACATGCCATATCATCATTCTCCGATTTAGATGAACACAGTGTTGCTATTTTGTAGCAAAAGTAGGAAAGGAAATTTAGAAAATTAAAATTAATCTAGAATATATTTCTAGTATCATTTCTTACATGCTGGTAAAGTCAGGAAGAAAACACAGGACAATTTTTGAAGCAAGATTATCAACTCTAATTCGTGCGAAGAGTCATCACGGTAGAAATAGAATGTGGACTTTTTTCAAATACAATTTGTAAACCTCAGTATTTAAAAACCAAATTCTTAAAATACTCCTTAAGCTATGTTTGAAAGCTCTAAATGCCCTTTTTTTCTTTCTGAGGCAATTAGGTTTTTTTGTTTGTTTGTTTGTTTGTTTGTTTTCCCCAGAGTTTAATCAGAAGCTATTTAAAATACGAACATCTCCATTAGAGTTTATAATCTGACTTTTTCTCTCAATGTGTTACATCTGTTTACCTGGACAATCTGAGTATTTCTAAGGTGTGTCCATAATTACTAGAATTGGTTTTTGATCAATTAATAAAGTATTCTAGAAAAAGGAAAAAGAAAAGTAAGGATGTATAAGGGAGCTGTTTGCAATGGATATGGAGTTAGTGACCACTAGAGAAGCCTGATTATCTTCCCTTTGCAAAGAAGGGAGAAGTCTTATGCAGGCAAGCCCATTTCAAAACATAGGAAAGGGAAAGTGAGTCATTATAATCAATCTCAGGCCCTTTGACAATTCAATCAAGACCATAAGATTAAATCTCCAAAGAACAGAAACAAAGAAGATGTCTCTTGAAATAAACTAAGTGATTTCTCTTTTAGAAAGGAGACAGAGAACCTCCTCACGAGGGTTTAACAAAAGAATTTTAAATTTTGTACCTTTTTATTTAAACTTCCTTTTGAAACTTTGCATAACAATAAAAATGCTAATCATTGAATATTCAGAATTGTATTTCCCTTTTGTTCTCAACATGCTTTCAAGTGGATAAATGTGGTCATGTCATATGTACTTCAAAGTGACCACTGGAATTCCAAATTGTTCTTCATGAATTTATGCTTTTTTGAAAGATAAATGCAAGAAAAATAAAACAAGCCAGAGTTATGCCAGGAAGTACAAGAATTTTATTATTAGATGAACCCATGAATTGGAAAAATATTGCTTATATATTATACCTGAAGTCCTTAGCACTAAGGTTGAATCCCTAACAGCTGACCCTAAAAATCAGCAGGAATAGTTAGAGAAGAGATCTTTCCCAAAGCCAATTTCTCAAACATAAACAAAGAAAAGCTCTTACAGACACACAAGAATTTAGCCAAACAAGCTACATCTTGTTTGTTGACAAGCAAGATGATTAGTATCAAATCAATGCTTTAACACATCTTCACAAGAAAAACAAAAATTTGTACAAATTTGATCAAATAACCAAAAAGTCCTGGGAACCTTATTCTCACAACAAACAAAATAAATATCAGCTAGCTTTGGGAGCTCAACAAAAAAGGATCAGACCTTAAGGAAGTGCTGGACTTACCATCATAAGCAAAGAATCTCTGGAGCAAAGAGACTCAGGAGACCTCAGTGAAGTTCAATGTAACCAATATAAGAATACTCGTAGGAAGGGGTCTTGTCTAAGTCTTGGTGGGACCTCTAGGACTATCAAAGTCTTGATATAACAACCACCAGGGAAATTTGTTGATCATACAAAGCTGTATAAAAATTTCTGAGCAAGGGAGAGCATCACCATGGAAGAATCCCAGTAGTGCCAGAAATGGAGGATATTACTGAAGGATATATACAGGACTTTGAGAACTGAGGTTGGTCATGAGAACTGGGGGTGGTTTTAAGGTCGAAATTAGCAAGTAAGGTCTAGGCAGAGACTGGTCAGATTTTATAAAATAGGTGAGTTGCTGAAATGGTCTCATCTTTGGAGCACATGAGTCCATCTGGAGTTATCATGGTCTCAATTTGTCCATGGTCTTGGAGTATATAAGTCTAAACAAGTTTATGTTAAAACAATTTGACTTAAGATAGTTGTTTGAGTTACTTGTCATGGTTTGGTACAGTTTCTCTGTTATACAAATAATAGTACAGTTTTGCAAGTTGATGTTTCTGTTTCTCAGAAAGAAAGAGTTTGTATGTATGATAGCCAATTATAATGATTTGTAGACATTTAGACATTGAATATCTGAAATGAAGGAGTGGGATGCCTGGGTAAGAGAATGACTAAAACCATAGAGTCAAGGAAGATATGTTATTAGGATGTTCTTAAGATCTGTGATCTTTGGGAAGATAGTGAACTACAAAGGGAAATAAAAAGAATCAAAGTTTAAATGTTTGAAAGACAGTAGCACCACTAGTAACAGAAACAGGAAATTGAAATTTAATATATGGTAGACAGGAAAGTAACAAGGTAGGGAGATAATGGGTTATGTGTTGTTTTACTTTGTTTTTTTTTTTTTTTTCTTTTGTATTTTAACTGTGGCAGGTTTCAGGCATTTCAAAGATGACCAGAAGTATAAGATAACCAAAAAATAAGATTAAGTTTTAAAAGGAAATATTGTGAATTTGTTCTACTATATTCAGCCTTAATCTCCCATTCAGTTCTGTTTTTCTTTGAAAATACATGAAATGCACTGTAAACCCCACACCCTCATTTAACTAAGTATTATTTTATCATGTCAGCTTTACAGATAAATGACTAGTTCTCCAATGATCTCTAATTGTTCTGTTATTTCTAGAACTGTTTACAGCAAAATAACACCCTAAAAACAGGGCTCTTGTTTAGTTGGTCAGTACCCTTTTGTGAAAAAAAAAAAAAAATTATATAACCACACAGTTTCTTTCTGAAGCAACTTGTCTGATTAATGGAGTTAAAGAACTATAAGCCTTGGCCTTTATAAAATTATAATGACTTCAATAACTGTGTGTTAATTAAGATCAGAAAATTAATCTATATTAACACTGCAATAGCAATTTTCTAAGCTCTGCCAGACTAAGGATGAAAGTGGGTTGCAATGTCACATGGCATCTGATTAAGTTAAATTAATGCAGTATTTGAAGGGAAGACTCCCAAGTGACACTGAATAAGATGATCAGTTTTTCTCTAGCTATTTTAAGGGAACAGTTGGTTGCAAAGCTACTACTTTTCAACATAAAGCCAAATGTCCTACCACATGGTATCACTAATGAGTCAGAAGGAAGATTGAAGGGGCTTGGGGTTATTGTTTGGGAGAACTGAGATATGAAGCTCTAGGTATTGGCCATATTAACAGCCTAAGTATCTAAAATGTGCAGGCTTGCCTTCAACTTCCTTAGGTAATAGTCCAGATTTTTTCACCTCCAAGATGTACTTTTTATTCATTTTGTATTTCTGGATTCAAAGTACATCTTAAAATTGATGTGTAAATTAAAGTTGTACGTTGGTGTGTCTGCATGTGTTAAGGATCACTCCTCTTAAGTATGTTATAATCTGATCTAAATCTGTGTTTACATTATAAGCTAATTCCATCTACACTAGCATCTAGGAGTAAAATATGAAAATAGTTGGGGTAAAATAGTTGCTCTTTAAATGTCATTTTTCATGAAGGAAGATAATCATATTTATTATATATTTACCCACACTAACTGAGTGTTCATTACTTCAATAAATCCTAACTACTGTGTTTTTTTTAACGTTTATTTATTTTTGAGGCAGAGAGAGACAGAGCATGAACGGGGGAGGGTCAGAGAGAGGGAGACACAGAATCCAAAGCAGGCTCCAGGCTCTCAGCTCAGAGCCTGACGTGGGTCTCGAACTCACGGACCGCAAGATCATGACCTGAGCTGAAGTCAGATATTTAACCAACTGAGCCACACAGGCACCCCAGTCCTAACTACTTTTAAAGGCAGTTATTATTACTATATGTTATAAGTAAGAGCATTAAGGCATAATGTGTTTAGGTAACTTGAATTTGAATGTCTGAATCCCAAGCTCTTCCCACTATGTACCACACTGCCTCACTGAAACATCCTAACATAGAATAAGTTTCCAATAATTTTTTTCATAGACATAATGGGAGATATTAAATCTCTAAAGGGTGATTCAATTCAGAGTCATGGGATAATTGTGCATATTTCTAGTTAAGTATTACTTGTTTAATTTTGCTACTAAAGAGACGAGATACTTGTCTCCCTCTCCTTCAAGTAAGTTTAACTTCTTTGATATTGTTGATCCCACTTCAGAGAAGAGATCAAAAGCTTGAAAAAAAATATAAACAATCATTTTCTTCAGACTTGAAAATATCATGTCACAAAGTCTGTACCTCAGATGTTCTCAGTGAAAGACAAACTAGAAAAGAATATTGGGAGGGAAAAAGTAAGTTGTTTTCTTTAGTTTGCCCCTGTGAGCGACCACTGGGAAGGCCAATCTCTACAAACCACTATTGTCAAATTGTAGCCAAAGCAGGTGTGATATCTGGCCTGCTATTTAGTCACCATTTAAATTTCTGAATGCTTTTTAATTCTGGAGGGACATTTTTTCCAACCTCCTATACTCTCTATCCAGGGACCCTTTGGGTGTGTACCGTCTATGTGCCAGATACTGTTGTAGGTGTTAGATATGCTAACCCCTGTGTCCTACATCTACTTCTTTTCCATTAACCATAAGCAACATTATCCTAAGAGAATAATTTGTGGTGGTTTTTTTGGCTTTGTAGCTGCTAAATCCTGAAGATGACCTCTTACCAGGAAAGATTCGAGACAGCAATCGTTCAACCCTCTTAGCAACAATTCAGGAACATGGTTACCCCACAATCAACTTGGGAATTGTGGGAGACAAGTAAGTATTGGATTTTATTTGGAAGTTGTTTTTGTACAAATTTGAATTTTGGGAGTACTAACTAGGTGGGGTTGTTGCTAAAGAGACAGAAATTTAATACAATAATTTTCAATAATGTCATTCTTTAGAAGCCAAAAAATTATGGACATGGCTGTGTCCTTTAGGGACATTTTCCTAGAATGCCTATTACAACAGGAGAAATACTTTTTGCTCTCCTGTGGGTATGTTAAGTTTACAGGGGTCTTTTTTGATAGTGTTGGCTTTATTCTAATGGAATTAATGGTGATGGTATTATTCCTATTCACCCACACTTGTTTCAAGAAAGACAGGGAAGACATGGGTAAGAAGATAAAAAAGAATGTCAAAATTAGCACTAACTGCTCCTTTGTAGTTTAAGTACAGTTTTTTCTAGGACTTTTATATTGATTTTTGTAGCCTTATGTAACCCAAGTTTCTCCAGGCTTCATTCACCCATCTGTAACTAGAATCTGTGACTAGAATTGCCCATCTCTAAGAGCAATTACCGCATATGCTAAATTAACTCAGCCCTCTGCTAAATTCCCCCAAGGATTTCTGTACCTTCCAACCTGTGATCAAGATCAAGTCTTTTTCTGAGCACCCCACTACCACGCAGCACTGCCATGCAGCCCTCTCTCATCAGGATTTCCAGTTCACAAGACACTTGCCTGCTTTTTTTAGTAATATTCAAACATCAACCTGGTAGAGACAAAGCTCAGAGGCAAATCTAAGTGATAGATAGCATGATGTGTCTGTCACCCATAATTGCCCCTTTCTTTCTTGTAACCACCTTGTCACTGAGAAAAGCTCATTATATCTGGATCTTTCTTCCCCAGGACAAGGTAAGAATTTCCCAGCAAATGTGCTTTTGAAGAGGCACCACCTTACCATTTCAGAGTATGCTCTGACACTTACACCCCAGCTTAAGCTCAAACTGGACACAACACAATCCAAACCTTGGACATAGCATCTTGCTGATAACATGAAAGGGAGTAGTTTTATGTTCTTTCACCTTTCAAAGTTCTCTCCTTTCCTCCTAGTTTTTTTTTCTTTCTCTGAGGATATTGGAATACAGAGTCTGTTAGACATGTTTTCAAATGTCATTGTTTTTAAAATCTTCACCTTTGTATTTACTTGGATGCTTAGTTTTAGAGATGCCCATAGCTGAGTAACCAGCCAACTTAGAACCCATGCTGGTGAAGACAGTTACGTAATATCACTTTGACCCAGGCTCCCTAGCCCTTGGGAAAGAGTAAAAATAACCCACTGAAAAAAAAAGGGGGCCGGGGGTGGGGGGGCAGCAGGAGGACGAGTAGTTATGTGAATTTGGGCCTGACTATTAACCTGTCCTTTTTTTTTTAACTTTTTTAAAAGTTTATTTATTTATTTTGAGAGAGAGTGAGTACGCTGGAGGGTAGAGAGAGAGAATCCTAAGCATGCTTCACACTATCAGTGCTCAGAGCCAGATGCAGGGCTCCAATTCACAAACCCGTGAGATCATGACCTGAGCCAAAATCAGGAGTCAGATGCTTAAACAACTGAGCCACCCAGGCATCCCTAACCTGTCCTTTCATATAAACTTCAAGCACCCAAAAGTTATCCTGACGCAGGTACACCTTTACAAAAGACAAAAATTAACTTCCCAAAAGAGATGAGGAACCCAAGAGTTCCAAAAGCACAGAGTAGGTCCAGAAACTCTAGGGACCAACTCACCAGATTATTTAGGATTTGTTTCCCACCTACAACTGCCTCTGGCCTTGCCTTCAAGGGCATTAATGGGCTGTAAGAAATATTATAAGGTAAAGGAAGCACTTTTGTGTGTGTGTCATTTTTACCTTGAGCTTTTCTGGACTATAATTCTGTCTACTCCTCCTATTTTTGCACTTTTGTATATAAAAACAATTGCTTACTTGATATACTATTTTTGCTGCCATTACACCATTGAAGGCCTCATATGTTGATATGCTAATATTTAATTTTCTCAGGCCCACACTGTTGAGTTATGGTAGATGTTTACTAATAATATTGGTTTCATATGTTAACTCCAAAATGTTCCTTGACAACAATATAAAGAACAATAAAAGCATAAGCAAGATATAGGCAGTTCTGAGAATATACATATCTCTAGTGCATATCCTTTTCTCAAATGAAAATATGTTCCAGAAAACTGAGAACAATGTTTTTAAAATACAACAATGCAAAGCTAGACTTTCTCAGTCTTAGAGTGCTATATTAAAGAGGCCCAGAGTAAATGGTTAGAATGCAGAGGTGGAATGTGGGTGGAAAGAATTTATAACTGTTCTAATGGAAATGTGTGCTGGGAATTTAGCAAAGGAAACAAGGTACATTTAATCTGCAGCCTGTTGATACTCTCTGAAGGCTGCCTCCCTCTTCATTCTTCTCGTTCCTATGTAGCCCTTTGCTAATGAAAGCAAATGTTATACAGAAGCCTCTCTGTGAAGCTCTCCAGGGAAACAAGAGGGTCATGGGAGAAACTACACTTTCTTTAAAGCAAGGAGAGAAACAGCTCAAGAATGTCAGCAAGCCCAGAACCCCTGCTCAGTTGCGACAGATAAGAGTAGGGAGTAAGAGCTCTATTCTTATATTTAAAATATGGTTGGAGTCTGGTTTTTAAATTCTATGATTCTACTTCTCAGCTCTTATTCTTATCACCAACCATAATTAAAATGATAAATGTTGAAATTGTAGACTAAGACTCTATAATTAAATTAGGCTTAATTTTTCCTCTGTTTATTGTACATGTTATTTAAAAAGAGGGTATCGTGAAAATTTGGGGAAAGGTGCTTCAAATACCTGATAGTTAGCAACTGTATTTTAAAAGCATTCACTTATAAATATTTTGTGTGTATTAAAATATATTCCATAAGACAATTTCTCACAGCATGTGTAACACAAGACTGTTGGAGTTCCTAGCAGTTTTTTAAAAAGACAAATTTGAAACAGAGATGTTAAATGAACTTGCCCAGCATTATGCAAGTTACTGGCAGAGGTGAAAATGGAATTTAAGTCTTGAAATTATCAATCTGCAATTCTTTGCTATCATTATGAAGACAAGATAATAACTACATATGTCAGAAAGGAATCATAACTATGCGCTACAGTGGTCAGAGGTTTTTTTTGTTTTGCTTTGTTTTTATAAAGGTGCAATGTTAGCTAAAACATGAAGGATGAATAGAATGTGTATAGTTAGAAAAAGAGTGTGTTAATCAAGTAGGAAACATGGAATGAATAAAAAGTAGAGAAGTAGAAAATAAAATACAGAAGTAGAAATAAACAGCGAGCTACTCAAAGGCCAGAATGATTAGAACAGGAGGTTTCGGTAGAAGGATAATGGAGGTGAATTTGGTAGAAATTTGAGGCCAGACTTTGAAAGGCTTTGCAATCCAAGCAGAAACTACCCAATTCATTTAAATTTGAAGCTTTAAAAAAAAAAAAAAAGTGAAATTGACATCATAACCATTATTTTACAAAGATAATTTGACCAAGGCATTTCACATGGGCTAAAGTTGGAGATGGACTAGGTATAACAATACAATTTATTTATTCATTGTTCAGTCAGTCAGGAAGTATTGGTTGTGTACCTGTGAGAATCAGCTAGAGATCTTATTTAAAATGCTGATTCTGGGGCACCTGGGTGGCTCAGTCAGTTAAGCGTTCAACTCTTGATTTTGGCTCGGGTCATGATCTTGTGGTTCATGAGATGGAGCCCACTGCATTGACAGTGCAGAGCCTGCTTGGGATTCTCTGTCTCCCTCTCTCTACCCCTCTCTCTGTTTCCCTCTCTCTGTCTCTCTGTCTCTCTCTCACACACACACTCAGATAAATAAGCTTTTTTTTTAAATGCTGATTCTGATTTAGCAGTTGTGGGGTGGGCCAAGATTTTGCATTTCTAACAAACTCCCAAGGACACCAAGCTGTTGGTCCATGGATCACAGGAAATAACAAGGATTTTTGTCAATTTAATCATGCATCTACTATGAATCTTAAGACCAAGGCTATTGAAGATACAAAGCTTAAACAGACCTAGATCTTGCCTTTGAAATTACATGTACTAGAAATGTACTAGAATTTAGAGATTAGTAATAAAAATGTTTTATGAAGTTCCAGAGCTTAAACTCACATTTGGAAGTAGAATTTCTTTAAGAGATTAAATCAAAAGACATTGTGAAGGTTATTACATATAACAGAAGAGTGTCAATGTTGATTTGTCTTCATCTGGATTACAAAGCCTCATCAAAATGGTATGTGACTATAAACACAAATAAAATGCCTGCAAAACCCAGCTATTAGGTCTGTCTACCACAGTTTTACATTCCTCGCTAGCAGTACACCATTTCCACTTCTTCATGTTTTATTTGTAGTTTATCTTTTCTTGATTTTTGTAGCTCCTCCTCCTATGTTCATTCCCTAAATTTAGGAGTCCCCATTGCTCCCTCTTGGCTTTCTGTGCTTCTGATTCCTTATGCCAATGACTCCCAAACTTCATCTCTGTCTTGGGCTCCATGCCTAGATCCACTTACTTCCTAGGTGCATCTTCTTTAAGTTCAATGGGCATTGCAAACTCAACCTGTCCAAAAATCAGTTCACCATCCCCTCACCTCACTCACCGCCTCTCCCCACGACTGCCCTGTTCCATTTCCTTTCATTCTTCTATCTCAGTGACTGCCTCACCACCTACCCAGTCACCCAAGCCAGAAGAAACCTGAGCACGTCATCATAGGTCCTCTCTTTCACTCACCCCTGTATTTAAGTCCTAGAGATTTTCCCTTCTTGATATTTCTTCTCTGCATTCTCATCCCTTCATCCGTACTGTCCTGGCTTAGTTCAGGGCTCCATTTATTTTTTGTCTAGACATATGAGACTGCCATCTTAACTGGTGTCCATTCTTGAAGTCTTCTTCTCCTCTAACTAACCCTCGATTCTGCTACCAATATGACCTTTCTAAGGTGTGTATTCTATAC